CATAAGAAAAGTATAACGAACCTTGCTTGGCACCCTGGGTATGGTGAAGACAATTCAGAAGGTATCTGTAATAAGTGTTCTTAAGCGTTGTTAAAAAAAGTTTCTAAAAATAAGGAACATACTAGGCTACCAATAGATGAAATCAATATAACAGTAGATATATTTTTTTTATATTCTGTTACATATAATTGATGTGGAAATATTAATTTGTGTACAATAAAAAGTAGTGCTGACCTTTGATATTTCTCCATACAAGGCTGAATGTGTTCTTATATAAATGGTACTTTATTTCCTAAAATCAGGCCTTGGTGTTCTTAATCCACTTGTTCTTATACGCGGGTTTTTACTGTATTGATTGATTGACTAATTGATTGATTGGTTGATTGATTGATTAACTAATTGATTGATTGATCGGTATTGATTGGTTTGTCAGTTGCCGTATTGATTGATTGACTAATTGATTGATTGGTCGGATAGGTGATTGATGATTGGTCGGTTGATTGATTGATTGATTGACTGGTCGGTCGGTCGGTTTATTGATTGACTGTTTGATTCATGTATTTATTCACATTCCTAACCATTTGTTATCACTTTGCTAAATCACATCTTGTTTGTTCACAATAGATGAAGGGCGTCTACCATACCGATTAGCTTCAGGATCAAACGAGACGACCATTCATATACATGACTTGAGTAGCGTCCTAAATACCGGTAAGACATCCTCTTCTGTGAACAAGTGATTTTTAGAAGCATAAAAATAGTTAAAAAAGAATCGTCGGGGAGGTTGTCAGCGCACTTTGCAATGGCGGATGATCCAGAAAGAGGGGGAGGGCTGTTATCCTTCACGAGTTTGTAAGGTTTCTTTTGATTGGAGGAATAAAACAATGCTCATTATTATATATCAAGTGTCAAAGCTCACTTTTCCTAGTACCTTATTGGTCGAGAGCGTACCACGTGAAAGTCACAAAATTTTACTGTTTCCCGGCAACTVTCCACCAGCGGTCAATAATATGTTGTGGACCCGGGGTTGTGGACCGTCAATAAGTACAAAATCGCAGAAAAACAATCTTCAGTGTCGTGAAAATGTCACATTTACGGACGTTGCATTCCAAAATTGTTATGAAACATTTAATTTCGACTACAAATAGTTAAATTAGTATTCATTGTGTTATTACATTGATTGATTTTAGTGACATTTGACTATTTGTATTGCCATTTTTCAGTCATTTTATCAAAATCTTTAATAAAGACACTTCATTTATTTACTTTTTTTGCTCTCTTTGACACTTGATATGATAATAAAGCACTTATTTACTGGAAACCTCGGGAAACAGTATGTTTTGCGGTACCTCGACCGCTGATGTTTCCCTCAGCTTCGCTTCAGAAAACATCAGCGGTCTCGGGACCACAAAACATACTGTTACCCTCGGTTCCAGTAAATAAGTGTTAATTGTTTCCTCGTATTTAAATTATTGTTTTCTTGTATTTAACAAAACCGTGAAGGGCTACCCGGAGGAGGAAATCATTAGACGCACGGGTACACAGCAAGGCACGAATAGAATATACCTGTGTTCATTTTCTAAGGCTTTTATCAAAAAGGTCTTGGAGAAAGCTAGATAACCAAACTACGGAGATATCCTGGACGTTTATTCAGAATTTGTTTACATGAGAAACTTTTATATGATTACACGGCTTTATACATTTGAAGCTCACCAAAAAGTTGTATGTTGTACAGAAGATGTTGAGAAGTCCGTTTCTACCATAACTTCAAGCTATCGTAAGCTCGTTGGTCATTCTGGTCGYGTAACCTCGCTATGTTGGAGTCCACACCATCGGGATATGCTAGTGTCTGCTTCTTATGATGGAACCGCTCAGGTGATGGAGTTTCCGAGTTTTTTGTTATATTATTTTTCYATGGTTAAACTCATGTTAGAATTAAGAGCAAAAGATTTAGCGACTGAAGTATCTTTAAAAATAATGAACGCCAATTTTAGAAGTACTGTAAGCGAGGTGGACAAAAGCTGTGACGGGAGAAAGTTGTGAAATGAAGAGATAAGCAGAGGTTGGGCGGGAAAATGAAAAAAAAGATATAGTCGACGAAAAACAATAACCTTCAACTTCTTAAGTGCAAAGTGTTTCCTGTTATACACTCTATWAATCCAACTTGAAACGCAAGGGAAACATTGTTGCATTGTTGCTACTTTYTGTGCAGTGTATGGTTGTGCATATGCGGCTGGCATTTTGATCCAATCAGGGCGCTTCTATGAATAATGTGCAATTTTCATGTAGCGAGGAAATTTTSATGAAGAGGATGTACATGTAATAAAGTAAAAATTGTTTTCAAATGTGAACAGCAATGATCTTGCGCGGTAGTTTGAACTTTTATGGGCGTGAAACACGATATAGAAAGCCTTTAACTTCTCGTGTAAGATTGTTGCTGTTCCTCGTTTTTCATGCCTTGTTTTTGTTGCAAATAAAAGATACAAGTGTTTAAAAGCGAGGTGAAAAACAAGAAACAAAGACACTAAACAATGTTGAACTTTAGTTTTTATTTTTGTTTGTGTGTTTCACGTATTTCACCGCCATTTTAGARATTCTAAGAAATTCGTATGCTTGTGTTTTAAAGATTTGGAATGTTGAATCCAACCAAACTATTTCCAACTTTCGTGGTCATGTCGGCCGTTTACTGTCTGTCCAGTGGAGTTTTCTTGATGCTGATGTTGTATACAGCGGAGGAGAGGATGGTTCCGTTAGAGCTTGGAAAATAAGTGAGCAAAAATACTCCCAGCCTCCAGCATCAGGTATGTAGACCTWGACATGGCTAAGATGTTGTCCACACGATATTGGCATTTTATAAATCTGTAATTTTGTTTATATAAAAGGCCCTTTGCAGCTGGGGGTCACGTAACCACACCTACCTTAAATCAAATGATGTTCAGAAATGGAAAGAGCAGGTTTATGTTGGTGAAATGGCAAAGTCTCAAGTCTCAAGTCTAAATACTTCAAAAATGCCAGAAATTTAAAATATTGATTTTTCTAAAGAAACGTATGGGAAAATAGAACTGGAGAGCAAAAAATGATTTTATGTTTGCTATCAATTTTGAAAAATTTAGTGTTGAGACTTGAAACTATATCTTCTTAGTTATTTTGATCCCCTCTTTCCATTTCTGAACATCATTTTGTCATTGCTGATTGGTTTAAGGTAGGCTGGTCACGTGACCCCCTACTGCAAAGGGCATATTAATATTACGGGTCGAGACACGTCCAGATTTTTCTTGGTGGAAAGCGAGCATTGTCCAGCAGTAGATAAAAGCGTAGATATTCTCATTTAATCGCTATGAAAGACATGATACATCCAGTTCTCACTATCCACCGAGTCCTGATGAAGATTCTATGGCGGAAATGACATCGTTTGATTCGCCGTTTGTTACGCGGCGGGCACTATCGTGTCACGTGGTCGACTCTCGACCAATGAGAGCGGAGGAAAATATAAATTATTGGATAATAAATACTGATAGCAAATAACTCAACAGGCAGCAAAACATCAAAAAACAAGAAAAAGTCAAAATCCAAAACTACGGAATCACATGAAACAAAAACTCAAACCAACAGCGAAATACTTCCAGAACAACAAGCAACAGAATTGCAGAAACCTGGCTGCAATGACGCTCTTTATGTTGCTAGTAGCTCAACCGAAATTGGAGAAAAAGTAGAATCATGGAGAAGACCGGTGACCACTTCACCTGTGGGCTCAGGCGATCCATTCACACCTGCTCGGAAAATTGATGGTTCAGTTGCCGTGGTTTCTGTCGATGATGAGGATGCTGCTTCAGCGGGTTCTTTCTCCGCGCAGGGATCTGGGCCTACCATCATTGTATCGAAATCTAAAGGTAGAAAATTTGTTGTTAGTTTTTCATCTATTTATTCATCCCAGAATATATTCATTCATCATTTTATTTATTCATTCATTTTTTATATATTGTAAAATATGAAATACGATGGTGCGATTCACATTGCGCTAGTTTAGATGCAGTCTATTAAAAAGCTGCCCTCAATTCAGTGGTCACCCTCGATTAAATAGTTACTGAGGAATTGCCCAAATGTCGATTCTCATATACATTTACTGTAAATATGACCTATATTAAACGTTCAAGCCCTGGGAAATGGAGAAATACGCAGCAAATTATAATGTGCTCAAAAAAATCTCAGAAAGTCCTGGTTCACGCAATATTTTCAACATAAACATCTCTGATTTCAAAAGCGTCACGTGTCACGTAATCATAGAAATAATCGTGACTTAAAAATCACGTGATTTCTCGGAACAACAGACACAACTGTGCTTTTAAGGTGGTCCCTGTACGAGCATGGTACGAGTAAACGCTTTATGTGGGTGTCTGTCAAGTTTGGTTTCTGCAAGCGTCATGTTTTTCATCGTGGAAAAGGGACTAGGGTTAGCAATCGTGACCTAGAAATCTCGAGATATCTTCAGCAGACATCAACTGGCTTGAATCATATCGTTGCATTTTAAGTTAATCTCTCACTATAGACAGGTAACACTTTGGAAATGGGACTCATTTTGCGTTCACTGGCTCATAATATAGTAATATTGTTATTTATATGCACTGGATACGTTGTTTTCATTGGTACTCTTTTGGATTTCAAGACCTATACTCCTGGAGCTGTGTATCGTACACCATGTCAGAATAGATGTGAGGTTATTCTACCAAATTCATCCGTGGACAAGTTTAACTCCTTCTCGTTAGACAAATCACAAGCCTTGTTTGTGCATTTTATGGGAATCAATCTTCAGCTTCAAAAAGATACTGAAATTCTGGATCCAGTGAATCTTGTTTGGGTTGAAAGCATCACAGCACCATTCCTTTCACTTGATTTAGCCTTCAATGTTTATTCATTGACGACTTTATGGCGTAAAGTGCGTAATATGTCAGTATTGGTAGAATTTGGTTCGCAAAATTGCTTGGAGAACACAAGTTACAGTTGCGTTACAGCGAGTTTGGCCACAGCATTCTTAACTAACGTCAGTCAACAAAGAGGTGCATTGTGTTATGTTGTAAATTTCAATTCCTCGGTGAAGTATAAATGTTGCCAAAAAAACTTTCACACGCAAAAAATTGAATGTGACATTCCCGCCACTGTTAACTCGCAAATGTCCGGAATTTTTGTTACAATAATAATTGTGTCAGYGATATTTTTTGCGTGTTTTTCCGCTGCTTTCGTTAGATTTCCTAATGAAGACGATAGTTCACAAACCATAAGCTCAAACACACAAGTTCGCAATCCATTGTACCGCCTTGCAAACTTTGGTGTCCAGAAACTTCGGAATTATTCCACTAGATACTATTCTGTAAATGTGATAAGAAAACTGCTTATTGGTTGCTCACTAGCGATGTTGTTCTATATTGACTGGGGTCTCATAGTCTACACCGCTAAATATGACATACCAAAGATGTTTAATGATGCAGTGAGAAAGAATTGGCTGGAAAAGAATATTTCGACTGTAGTATTTGCAGCTGTTACTTATAATATTTTTCTGCTAATCGTTTCTTTAMTTCCACGAACTGAAAATCTTGGTTTTTCTTCTGCACCTGCTGATTACCAGGAAAAAGTAGAGAACGAATATTCCATAATTCGGAATGCTCAAAGCCAAAATTTCGAAATGGACTGGATGGTACCGTCATCTCTTGCTGGAAAACTTTTCATAGCATTCATTGTCCTTAAAGGTCTGTTTGACGGTCATCAAACTTTTCTTTGCTGTATGATCATTAAATTTGTATGCGGTTTTTTCCTTATGTTATATCCAATTATTGTCATATTGATTTTCATTGGCTATGGTTGGTATATCTCACCRTTGGGTCGCAGCATCAACATTCTCATTAGCCATCTATATATCTATGTTTTGTGGCTTTCATGGCGCTTAGATACATCGGAAAAGTTGAGCAAGTATGCTGACAAGCTACCAGCAATAACAATTGTTTCATCCTGTATCGGTATCGTACTATTTGTTTTATTGCTCATCATAGTACTTTCGTTTGCATTCGTAATCTCGCACTCGTTACTATTAATATCAAGATTCATCACTTATCTTTGCATGGGAATAGTTGCCAGTAAGGATGATTATTTACCTCTTATTGCACTCTTTTCTCTTTTCGTTTTCTACATTTGGAACTGTTACAGCTCAGTTGGAAATACATACAAAGATCTTCTTAGACAAACGTTTGACAAGTGCAAAGAATACCAAGAAAAAGAACACAGACAAGTCATAATAGTAGATAACGAATGGGAACCAAGAATTACCCGACTGAGTGTCCTTTTCCAGAAAGTTGTCGATAAAATCCTGCCATTTAGCAAGACTTACACCATAATGTGCGTAAACATCGCAATAATTGGATCTTTTTTGTTTTTGACATACTTTTCTATTTTGGTTTATGGAGAAACAAGTTTAAACGATGTGACCAAAACCTTGGCTGTTTCTTTGGCTGGACTTATCCCGAAATTGATAGAAATATTTCGTAGCGGCAATTCCAAGGAYWTAATTGACAGARAAAATGCATACAAGATCGAGAAGATAGTGCAGGAATTCTTTGATTCTGAACAAGGAGATCAGGGAAGCAATGGAGAAACGTCTGAAAGTTCGACTACAAACCTGTCTAATGGCACCGGCGAAGCAAGGTCAGAAGGCCGTCATCAGTTGGTACGTGCAGATGTTAACCCAAATTGACCGATCAATGGCGATCCATGCACTGAAACAACACCATTACTCCAATCAAACCAGAACGCTAGAGATGACATCATTGAAGTATAAATACACCATAGTTAGTTATGGGACAAAACTGAAACTGAAAAAACTAAACCTTATAAAAGGTTTATTGAACACTGAACGTGTCTTTATTTCGTTTTCTAAAGTGGTATTCTTTTCTCCTTCCAAAGTGAAATAGCTGAAACTTAATCAATGTTATTTTACATTTCGTGATTTATTGTGTTTAGATGAATTTAGTTCTTTTTTTTCCTGGTAAACATTCAATAGCATAATAATAATAAAGTAGCCATGATCTATACATTATTAACCAGTGTTGCAGAAATTCTTTATAATGTTCTTAGGGATATTCTTTTCTCGGAGTTTGTAAACTATAGAATGAAAACTTGACAGACAACCATTAATGGGTGCGTGAGAAAGCGCTTGACATCATCTGTTTTTTTTATTAGATTATTATTAGGAATAGATGTATTACGACGGCTGCTATGTCGGCAGTACTGAAACTTCATCAATTCTATTTGTTCGCTTCTCTCGTGCTCTCCCTACATCCCGCGTGTTTTGATCAGAGTATCAAACACGGAATTTCGTCTTTTATTTCTTTTCTAAAATTAGAAGAAAACGAAAATTGTAAAGAATTCTGACTTTTGATACGATATGAAACGATGAATTCTCCTTACATTGCAGAGTGAATTATTTTTAATAGACCCCTTGCATGTGACGTCAAAGAAGCTTCATCTGGAGGACAAAACAAAAGTTCTTTGCCCTCTTGGGAACTAGAATCTATTGTTTTGTCCTCCAGTTGGAGTTGCATTCCCACGAACTGCAAGGGGTCTATAGCTTCTAAAACGTTTGATAGCTCTTCTTCTGGGTTATCATCCCAGAGGACATCATAAATAGGCCTTTCTTCGTTCATTGTTCTTGAAAATGATTGATAACAACAACAAATGCAAAGGGCGGGAAAAAAGAAATTTTTGACGCGCGCGAGCGTGTTTTGATACTGTAATCAAACATGGTTTTCGACCAATCACAGCGCGCGTAGTATCCTAAATATTTTAGAAAAGTAATTCTAAAATATCATAATGCTGGATAGGATTAAACCCAATACGTGAAGTCTTTAACACACAGTCACGCCAAGAAACTTTATTTTAAGGAAAACTAGTTTCGTCCCAGATTGGACCTTTTCAATTCCTTAAGTTTACAATCTGTACGTTTGGATTTCTACGATTTTTAAACTAATCGCGCGCGCTCTGTAGAAAGCGCGCGCTAATTAGACAGCTATGACTACATTTATGATTACAACAAGTATTTCTACGACAGTTCGATATTAGCCCGTGGTATTAAGACAGTGTTCCACTTTGTTTTGGTGTTCATAGATCTTCTTCCTTCTCTCTTTATCCTCACCGATTCTGTTATCTGTCGTAGCATTGGGTCTTGAT